TGCCCCCCAAATGAGAATAATATATGAGAAATACTAGATACCATCAAATGTCCAAACATCCGGATAATTGGCATCCCAGAAGGTGAAGAGACACATAAGGGCATCGATAATTTATTCCATGAAATCCTGCAAGAAAACTTTCCAAACCTAGGGAGGCACTCAAAGATCCAGTCCCAAGAAATACAAAGGACCCCAAATAGAATCAACCCAAGATCTTCTCCAAGACACATTATAGCCAGACTGACCAAAACCACAGATGAAGACAGGATACTAAGATTGGCAAGAGAGAAACGGCAAGTTACCTACAAAGGACATCCCATCAGACTAACAGCAGACCTCTCATCGGAAACAATGTGAGCCAGAAAAGAATGGAAAAATATATTCAAAGTGTTAAGGGAAAAGCAATTTCAAACGAGAATACTGTACCCAGCAATATTATCCTTCATATGGGAAGAAAAGACAAGAACATTCGCAGATAAACAAAACCTGAAAGAATTTACCAGCATCAGACCAGATCTCCAAGAAGTTCTCAAGGGAGTGCTATGTCAGGAAAATTAAATGTAGTCACACAGAAATAAGAGTTTAAAAACTAAGAAAATGGCCAGCTTAATCGTAGGGACAAGTCTGGAGTTGAATATTATATCCCAGAATTCAATCAGGAAGATTGAACCACGACATAAGATAGATTAAGTACATGAGACTGAACTGGCGAAATAGAATTCTGTGTATTTTGACTAAAATATTGCTGCTTTTCTTCTAGGCTTTGTTGTCCGGTTTTAAGAGTTTTCATCCTGTCTTGAGCTGTCAATGTTCATGTACCTACTAGTTGAACAGAATACTAACTTGTTTCCAGGCTTTAAGTTTTAAGCAAATTTCCTTATCAATTCAAAACTGCTTCTCATGAAATTACCAGCTTAACTTGCTATTGAAAGTAGTTAGATTATTTAAGAAATTGGGTGATCAATAAAATGTGGGGGGAAAGGAATGGAAGATAACTATAGACACCAGAGATAGTATGAGAAGAGGGTGGGAAAGGGCAGAGGGTTAGGAGATGAATGTAAATTAATTAATTAAAAAGTTTCAGGAGAAAAACACGAAAACTATTTTTCTTGAAATAAAAAAAAATGCATGTTTGATAACTGCAGTAAGCTATATAGTCCCAGCTAGGTGCTACTTTATAGTATGTTCATTCTACTCACTGAGATTTATGCCTAAAGTCAGACTTGTGTTCATGGATATATATATATATATGTATATATAATGGATATATATATATACACACACACATATATATAAATATATGTGTGTGTGTATATATATATATCCATCAGCTGTGCTTGCTATTAGAAGTATTTAGATTAAGTTCATTAGCAAATAAATAAAATGGGGGGGGAAAGGCATAGAAAGCAACCATGGATACCAGAGACAGTGTGGGAGGAGAGAGAGACATGGCAGAGGGTGAGAGATAGGGAATCAAGGATGGCAAAAATAACAAAATATACAGGAAACAAGAAATGTAAAATTATTTGTTGACGATAGCACGTATGTTGATGTGCTTGATTGAGCCAATATACAGTGTATTCTGGATGGGAAATCTCATTTTGTTTGCTGTAATGATGTATAGTGAATGAATATAAATAAATAAATTAAAATTAAAAAAGAAAAAAATTTTTCTGCATTTGTGATAACTTGATATTCATTGAGAAGGAAGTTTTAAAAGTTTAGGAAGATACCTGTCCATAAAGCTCATCTTTTATTGTAAAAGAGGGACATTTAATCAGATAATCATATAAACATATATACATATTGAAAAGTGCATAAAAAAAGGCTTACTCATTTTTTGAGTACAAAGTAAGTGTGTCCTATGAATGTA